ACTTACGCTGATAGACACTGACTGATCGACTTATTGCTTTCATGACAATTTCTAAAATTTCTGCAGTAGTTACAGAGACAAATCATTGAGGCAAATTGATCGTTTATATTCTAATTAATGCTTGAAAAAATACCAGTAACAACTATATAAAAATAAAAGGAACAAACAAAGTAACAATTATAATCAATAAATAAGAAATTATAGCTTCGAAGGGGCGTTATTTTCAACCAACGGCAGAGGACACAATTTCGGCTGCTAGAGGCTCAGCCGCACGTACGGTTAAATTCATGTTGACGGTTCCGTCAACGCCAATGGCTAGTTTCGCCACGGCTGCAACGTCGCTTCCGTCTCGAAAAATGCCTGACAGCAACAATGTGTGAGACGACTTGCCTTCAGGAACCTTGTGCGAACGGTCACAAGGCGCCATACCGAGGTACTCCAGCAGTTGACGAACCGCATCTACAGAAGGTCAGTGAAACAATTACATACGAAAAGGACAAAATTCAGATTATCAAAAGGCATGAACTTATGCAGATGCCAGGAAAAGAGTGACAACCTTACTTCGTACCATCTACTCTGAATAAGCATGAGAAGCATGTGGTGTACATTCACATAACACCACGTGACTATGATAGAAAAGTAACATCTCAGTGCGGTCGCTGCTAACGAATGAAACGTAAGAAATTAACATGGATTAACACAAACACACTGCGACATGAAAGCCTTAGCTAATCATGAGAGATATTCCAAGGACAAATAGTCAGAGAGATGAAAACATAGACAATCAGGAGAAAAACGCCTACGGCCTACACTGTTACTGACAAAAACTTGAAGTTAGCATACGTTTCAGAATTACTAGCAAAAGAATAATAGATTCGTTAACAAAAACTGTTCATAAGATGCACACATACAATGATCTTGTGTAGAAGGTAGCGTGCAGGTAACGCAGACTTGATAGAAAGGGAGTTATGGCTCGAACAAGAATATCTTGAGAAGCTAAAACTAAGAAAATTGCGGTATCTCAACAACAATAAGGAATAAACGCTGAACGAAATACCAGCAGTGCCATCGCAACAGAATAATTTTAGTCAAATGATGAGCCTCTTTCATGGAAAGAAACTGAAAGGTATATTTGCATATTAATAACATTTAATGTTGTATATAAATTTCATGGAAACAAAGATACATTTGATGTCATATTGGAGAAACATAATATCTGTTTTGCTCAGATTAATCTTTGCTATAACAGCACGGGCTTACAGCAACACTAATCACACTTTTCTACATTTAACCATTTTAAGATCAATATTAGGAGTGAAGTAGTACCATGTGGTGTCAAAGGCCGTGATGCAAGA